TAAATTACCGTATTTTTCGCTCTATAACACGCACCAGACCATAACACGCACATAGTTTTTAGAGGAGGAAAACAAGAAAAAAAATATTCTAAATGAAACAGTGGATGTATGATTTTTGTGGTTCATGCTGTGGCCACAGACATGTGATCTGACAGTGAGTTTGGAGTAGCCCAATGCAAAAATCCTGAGGATCCATGTGGATCCATGCTTTGTAACCACGTTTTTGCACCACTGCGACCCTAGGCAACAGTGGGTGCGTGATTTTTTTGGTGCAGGCTGTAGCCATGGACATGCTATGTTATCTGATGGTGAATTTGGGGTGACCCAATGCAAAGATCCTGTGGATCCATGCTTATAAAAGTCCCTATTAAGGATAAAACAGACAGGATATACGAAGTATGATTTCTTTTTTATTTACGGTATTTCTTTTTTGGCCACCTCTGTCACTGCAACCTTTGCTCTGTGCTTGCACACTTTTGGGCAATAGGGCATGTAACACACTTTTTTTCATCTGCCAAGATGTAGATAATCAATTTTAATGTCCCTATATAAAATGCCTAGTGAAGCAGAAGGGTATTACATCAGCCACTGTATTAAGGCTAAACGTTTGAAGAACAGCTCTCTATGGGGGGGGGACTAAATTCCATTTTCAATCAATTGTTATTGTGGCAGCAATTATCAGTGTATAGCGCACAATGAGGAAATGAACTTTAAAAAATATATATAAAAAACATTCTCACGTTATACTTCTTCAAAGAAGAGTATTAGGCTTTTAATGAAGGGGAGAGGAGAGATGCTGTAATCCTCCTGGCTCAGGAGATTCTGATTTACCTGCCGCGTTAGAAAGTATAGATTAAGATATTTGATATACAGCATATAAATCCAGAGATTTCCATGTCTCACTCTGCAATCCAGCCTGCTGTTACTTACGAGCAGGGAAGCAGGGTTTTTCTTCCAAACAAGCATACTGTCTCCCTCCAGCAGTACATTGCTTGGAGAAGCTGTAATTTGGAGGGGGCCTGGGGGCAGGGCTCTCTGCTTTTGGAAAAGAAATGAGAAACCTACCATTGTAAAGCAAAAGTCCCCTCCACCCCACCCAAGCCAGCTCTCTCTCTCTCTCTCTCTCTCCCACTTGCGTGTTTTTCGGCTGCCTGCGAGTCCCTAGAGCACGGAGAGGAGGAAGTGGTGGGCTGGAGTCTGCACGCAGTGTGACTAGGAAAGAATTAGAAGGAAGGACTCGATCATTTCCTTAACCCTCTGCTTGCCAGGAGGGCAGGGGATTCCCTGCTCTTTGTTGAGTTTGAGCAAACGCAGCAACAGAAGCGGGTGGGCAGTAAGACCCTGAGGCAGAATGCAGGAAAGCAACAGCTTCCGCCTTCCCTCTGCCTGCCCGCCGCCCGATCTTATTTTTGCCTTATTTTTGCCTATTTTGCCCCTTAGCTCCGGAGAGTCAGCTCCAGGGACCACACATTCGCTCAATAACACGCACAGACATTTCACCTTACTTTTTAGGAGAAAAAATCTGCGTGTTATAGAGCGAAATTTACGGTATCTGATTAAAGGTTTTTTTTTTAATAACTTAAAGGTGTCCTGAATAAAGAGACAACAGTTATTTGGTTTTTAAACAAGTTAACTTCCTGGACCTTGTAAGAATTTTGTATGCCCATGGCTAGTACATTTAAGTAGCAAATATTGTGTGCACAGTTGTGATGGAAGCAGAGTTTGATGGTGCAATATAGGCAAAATTTCACCAGTGTCAGGGACTCGGCAGAGGAGGAATGGTTAAGACCACCTCCCCAGCCTGACAATTCCAGAGAAGTAGTTTGGAATTACAACAGGGGTTTGAGGGAGGTCACAGCTCAGAGGAAGATGAGGGGAATAGTTGGGAAATAATGGGAGAGGAGGAGGAAGAAACAGAGTTGGAGCTGCTGGCTGACACGTTATCACTAGAAAGCATTCCAGACCCACCATCTCCAAGAACCAGGTGAGCTTTAAAAGTAGGAGAGCAAAGAGCTTGAAGACAGGTGGCCCTAAGCAGCAACCGTAGAAGGGGTGGTGCTGTTGACGAATGAGGAAGTGGGAGATAAGGGGGTGGAGATTTACTCGGGACAACACCATCATTCGAAGAGGCTGCATTCCCAAGCCTCTCTCTGCCAATATTGAATAAAAAGCAGATGGTAGGGACTTTTCCTTGTCTTATCCATTCCTGGCAACTTGCCAGCCGTGGGGGATGGTTCCTCTGCTGCCTGACAACCAGAGAGATATAGCTCTCAGTATGCTGAGCTAGAGCTTCACTCTGATTGGCTGTAGGTACAGGTAGCCAGAAGTGGGTGGAGACAGCACTTTGAGAGGGAAAGGAAAAAATCAGTTCCTGGAATTCAGCTCAATAAACAGCATAACCTCTGAGCTGTGTAAAATCTGCCCTGAGGGAAAATTTTAGCCAGAGAAGGCAGTCTTTGAGCTGGGGGTTAGCTTAAAGGACAGTGGTTATTGTCTTTAAAGAGTAATACAGACATGCAACAACTGGGAAGCTGAATTTTGGGAGAGGAGAAGTGGAGTTGTGAGGGAACACTCTACTTAAATCCCATTTCAGAAGGAAGGGAAAATATCTTCAGGGAGAGAATAATCCCAAACCAGTTAGAAAGGGAGTGTGTGCTTGTCCCCTGGTGTGGTATACTACGTGAATCTAATAGAGGAGCCTCAAGGTTGGGAATCTCAAGAACAATAGGCAGGTTAGTACTAGTGTGGCCTGGCAGAAAGTACTGGCCTGTTTCAGAACCCGCAAGTTGTTGAAACCTAAACTGTGACACCTCTGATAAGTTTAAATGACTGAAGTAAATCTAAGCTGTACACTTACCATTTTACCATCTTACTGAAAAGCCTGTGACTTCTACTGAATTCATAGAAAAATAGAATCATAGAATGGTAGAGTTGGAGGGGACCACAAGGGTAATCTAGTCCAACCCCCTGCAATGCAGGAACCTTTCACTCAACATGGGGCTCGTACCTATGGCCCTCATGCTCTACCGAATGAGCTATCCAGCCTCAATATATATTGTATATATCATTTACTGATTCTTTAAAGACTTTCAACTCCTGACAGACCACTTTTTACAATTCTTGTTGTGAAATAAATCTTTTTCAAAGTGCCAGTTTTTTAAAAAGGGGGTTGGCTGTACAGTGGTACCTTGGGTTACATACGCTTCAGGTTACAGACTCTGCTAACCCAAAAATAGTACCTCGGGTTAAGAACTTTACCTCAGGATGAGAACAGAAATCGTGCAGCAGCGGCGCAGCAGCAGCAGGAGGCCCCATTAGCTAAAGTGGGACCTCAGGTTAAGAACAGTTAAAAACAGTTTCAGGTTAAGAACGGACCTCCAGAACAAATTAAGTTCTTAAAGGCTCACTGCATCTGTTCTGGGGCTGAGTTATATAACCAAGAGACAATATTTCTGGGAAGGTGGGACAATATTTTAAGCCAATCCTAAGAACTACACATCCTACCACAAGCGTGTGTAGTTCTTAGGCTTGGTTTCCCAGTATTGACCTCAAATCAGGGGGAAAGGTGCAGGGTCTGCCTCAGCAGTCATAACTGTACGAGGAGTAATATGATATACTACTCTGGAAGGGTATGCATGGCTAATGAAAAAAAACACGTTCTATTTGGTCAGTCTTGCTTAGTATGTGTTTCTGCTCTATCTAATATAGAAATTCGGTGCATGCTTTGAAAGATGGCCTCATCATCATTCATCAAAAATCTCTTTTAGTTTATGATTGATATTTGAACTCAATATACAGATATGAGGAAGCATACCTTATTAGAGAGAAGCTCATGCTGCTGATGGATTTTCAGATCATGCATAATGCACTAGTATCTAGTAATAATACTAATATTGCATTACAAGGAGATGGTTCTTTTCATCTGATATATTCTCTGTCATTACCTGTTCTCGTCAAACCTTGCACACTTCCATACAAGCAGGCTCTGCCAGTGATTTAGCAACATATTCAACATTGACATAAGTCACAAATATCATTGCCCTGAGTTCCTTAATAAATTTGCATGGTGGAAAGTACCTCATAATTGGTGTTACACAGTTAATTGAAGTCAAAATTTAGATAAGTTCTGAAACCATAATTGCTCACAGTGATAAAAACTAGTCCTCAACATCAATTGAGGACATTTCCTTCCTCCTCATTGGCATATGTGCCACACCAATCCTTTGGTTAGTGCTTTGACTCCATTGGTTCTTCGTGGTTTGGCTTTGTTTTTAGTGATATATATTTGGAATGATGCAAGTGTTGAAAAGAAATTATTTGTTTGGGAACCTTTGATATGTATTGTTTTCTTCAAATTCCACATGTGTTCTAGGATAGTATTTGGTGGCTTACCGTACTTTTTATGAAATTACCAAATCACACAGATTCTCTCTCCACTATGTACACATACAAAAAGAAAGAATGGAGCTGTATTCTGGAGCATCTTAAGAGGGAAATGTATGAGTACTATCTGCCTACAATACACCTGTTTTCATTGGCTCCCTCTTTCAATTTGGTGATTGTTAACAAGATTTATAATGTTATATGTTTGGGGAGAATGCTAGAGGGTTACTCAGAGTGCCACACTGTGGGGATATTTCCATATCTGGGGTTCAGATACAATCCACAATAGCCGATATCAATTTTTGTTTTTTTAAATGCCTATAATTCTGTGTACAGTTCATTCCATTGGTCAATAAGCACCGACAACAAGAAAATATTAAAACAGCATGACACAAAGCACAGTGCAGGATGACAAATACAGCAGTTCCAAATCTCTGTGAATTCCTTGCTAAGTTTCCGCTACTGAATTTATTCTAATTTTATGAAATGTATTACTAGTCAGAAAATTAGTCTTACCATTACCTCAAGCTAATAAATAATTATCAAAGTATGTTAATCTGTATACAAAGCTACACTGGAATGAGAGACTTCAGCAGTTTCCTCTTTGTTTTTTATAGCGTGCACATGCAGTGGACATGCAAATATTTGTCACATGCAAACAGGAAAATGTTTCTGCACAACTAAAGGGATCAAAGGAGATCAATGTCAACTGTGAGTACAAGTAATCAAGCTCTCAGCCATTTAAATGTATATTTAAACTCCACCTGTCAGCAATTTTTGGGTGGGATGTTGATCCATAAACCGATTTCATTATTTTTTTCAGCCCTTCCGATAACTGTTTTTCTTTTAGAGAAATAATGTTCCCTTTTTAAAAAGAACATTGCAAATAGTAATGAGCTATTTCAAGTATTAGATATATGTAAAATAATCCACTAGGAAAAGTTGGCTGTAGACTGCATTTTATTTGTTCCATTGTATAAATCATTCACTATAAAACATTCAGATATTTTATTTTGGGAACAGGTTGGTAATTCTTCAGAAACCCCCCCCCCCCCATAATAAGATACTGAAATGAGTTTGCTGGTCTTTTGCCAGTAAATGAAATCAGTAAATGAAATCATTGTTACCAGGTGCTTATATCTGAAGTGCTTTAATTCTTAATGCCATACTGTAAAAGCTCAAATAAATCCAATAATGCACAACACTTTGCACTGAATCTCATAATTTTGTTACTTCATTAAGCAAGAGAGATGTAACTAATGGTCTTTGAAACTTCTGTATTACATTGGGACTTCTTCAAAGACTTATTTAAATACATAATTCCTGTGTTCCTTATCAATAGAAAAAGTTCTATCTGCTATTTATTAACAATTTAGGAGAAGCTAACTGTTGCTACAAGGGACATGGGTGACGCTGTGGGTTAAACCACAGAGCCTAGGATTTTTTGATCAGAAAGTCGGCAGTTCAAATCCCCGCGATGGGGTGAGCTCCCGTTCCGCGGTCCCTGCTCCTGCCAACCTAGCAGTTCAAAAGCATGTCAAAGTGCAAGTAGATAAATAGGTACCGCTCCAGCAGGAAGGTAAACGGTGTTTCCGTGCTGGCCACATGACCCGGAAGCTGTACGCCGGCTCCCTCGGCCAATAAAGCGAGATGAGAGCCGCAACCCCAGAGTCAGTCACGACTGGACTTAATAGTCAGGAGTCCCCTTACCTTTACCTTTAACTGTTGCTACAGTTGGGATTTGTAATTAGGAACCATATGGTTTTCTCAGCCCCTTTTCTTCATCAGTATTTTTTTTGCAGCCTATACGTGCTTAAGACTGCTTGCAATAGCTAGGACATGATGTGTGTGTGGAAATGTGCACAGAGCAACCCAGCTGTACTCTCCTGCTGCTCATTGTCTGGTGGTGATGATGTCTCATAATGCAATGGCTTCATTAGAATATTAAAGGTTTTGGGGGTATCAAGAAATGTTACCTCTTTGTCATGACGGGAATGCATATGTAGCCAGTCTACATGAGGGTACTTGTAACCCTGGCTTGCTGTGTTAATTATGGTACTCAGTTTGGGGTGGTGGTACAAAATGCAGGGTTCACAGCACAAAATGAGCACCAAACTTTGGCATCATTTTGGAGGGGGATCAAAAATTTTGGGGTTACACATTAATGAAGCTGTATAATAGTACACCTCCAGTACTAAATTACTCTTGGGTCAAGGTTTTCCTTAGATGTACAGCAGCATCAAGAGACGAAGTAGTTTTATGAATCCTAACATTTTAGTAAGGTCATCAGGACTGATGCAAAACACATCTCATGTAGGCTTTTGTGCCTGGAATGTTACAAGGGCAGTGCCAAATATCTAATGTGGACATATCAGTAAGAAGCTGCTTGGTACATTTTTTATGGGCAAGGGCCGAGGACAGCTGGTTGTAGGTCAAGCCTACAACCAGAGGGGAGTTTGGCTCACCTTGTAATAGGCTTAGCCCTTCTGAACTTGAGTGCTAAAGTCCCAACAGTCCTGTTCTGCAGCTATGCCATCATGTCCAAGTTGGAAGAGCTCATTCTACTTAATTGGTCCCATACAGCTGTTAGAAGCAAACTTTTCATCTGTGCAAGACACACTTGTATAAAATGAATCAGGAGAACTGCATTACTGTTCTCTGTTCAGAAAAATTGACTTGTTTTTTTTAATAGCAGCACTGCAACTATTTTTTTTAATTTGAATTTTAATTAACACTACTTAGGAAATACGGTGGTAAGGTTTAGTGTTTGTTACAGAGCTTGATCCTTTCTTTGTGCTGTTCCTCTCTTCCTCTCTCTTCCCCCCATACTGCCCCAATATCCATCTGTACAGTCAAGAATGCTTCTAAGCGAGTGCACATATGATTGCAACCTTAATTTGTTAAAAGTAGGGTAATCAATAGATTAAACTACGTATGTAATGTGTTGATAATTCAAATGAGAATATTAATGTGTGTGTGTGTTTTTTCTAAAGCCATATCACATACAAAATGATGTTCAAAATTATGAAGGCACTAACAGTCATTTTCAATATTAGTTAATATTATATTTGTTATGTTCTGCACTATTGCTGTTTGGACCATGAACTATATACAATACATGCTCAAATACTGGTAAACTGTAGCTAAGAATATAAATTGTTTCCCAGTTGTTGGGCAGGACATTGTGCAATCTCAGCAGCAAGCCTATAAATCTGTGATTACTAAAGTAAGGATTTCCATGAAAATTTCAAACTTTAGCTGTTCACTGTGTAAGTTAGATTTATATTCCTGTCAAGAATTGTATTGATTACAAAGTCATAGCTGCAGGGCAGAACATTGCTCCTCCCACCCCTCCCTCTATAACTGTTCACAGTGTGCAGTGAATACTGTGCCCTATGAAGAGAGACTTTTTAAAAATCAGAGAGGCTGTATAAAGCAAATTATTTTAAACTGGAAGAGGCTGCAGAGTCTAGAGGGAGAAAAATATGCTTATCCCTTTCAAGACATGAATGCATTCCTTTCAGAAGTGACTGGTTTTTCATTTCTAGTTTAAAAAGAAAGAAAGAAAATTAAGAGTTAAGAGTAATAATGTTAAATAAGGTTTTTAATTACTGTACTGTGATTTGTCATATAAGGGCTGTCTAAATTAACAAGGCATATTGCTTAATACTATTGGATTTCTGAGCTCAACTGCTAGTGCACAGTATCCTTTGACACCAATGACACAATTGCCTGAACATGACAAACGCCCTATGAATGATGCTGAACACTGCTTCTGCCTTGTGACACTCCAACTGTGTCTTACGCTAACCGTAGCTAAGAAGCCGTGCTGTGGTTTGAGCTCTGAGATATACAACAAGCAAACCTTGATTTATAGGTCTTGTCTACTTTTGTTTCCCATCTGCTCAGCATTCATGAGTTCATGCCTATCCCCACAGCACTCAGTGTGTGGGCTGTCAATGATCTGTCGAACTGTGGTTTCAGATCCTGGTTCTCATTGTCAGAAACAATTGCCGTATCTTCTTTGGACAGGCTCAGGTTTAGACATTAAAACAAATCATGTTTAAGCAAAACGCAGCCTCCATGTGGGAGTTAAAACATTTCTGAACATTTTAACATGATTCGGGTTGGTCATGTGAAGTCCCTAGCCCTATTCAAGCATGCTGCTCACTTGTACAGCTTACACATGAACAAAACATGTTGGAATACTGGAGACCTAGAAGGAGCAGCAAAGGGGCTGCCAGCACAGCTCTTCTGCATTTGCTGCCTGAAGTTATCACCTCACTTGACCTAATAGTAGGGTAAGTGTTATTCTGCAAAAAAGGCAAGAGAGAGAGAAATGGGAAAGTGATTTGAAATAAAAGCAAGTGGCATCTAGAGGGATTGAAGAATGGTAAAGGCAGGCCAATTAGAGCAAGTGAGGTGTAGGACCATGCTAAATGTTTTACTGTGGATATTTGGTGCAAAAAGTAGCACATCTGAGGGCACAAAATGTCCTCAGAAGCTTACATCATTTTTATTTAAGGTGGTTCTCCTTGTCTTTCTCTGCTCCTGTGCCCCATTTGTAATTGCCGTTTGCTATAGAGCATCTGTCAGCCAGGATTGTTACAGTTTCATTGTGGCTTACTATAGTAAGGTATCCCCAGTTGCTTTAAGAAAGGGGAAATGTTCCTGTGCACACACACTGCAGAAAGCACAAACATTTTTGCAACTAAATTGCTGAAAATGGTTTGGTTTGGGAGTGTGTGCAAACCATGCTCAGTCAGAGTGGTCCCATGTTTTGATTGAGTCCCAAAGGATGTGAAAGAGATGGCAGGATCAGTGGGAAAGAGGGGGATTTGGATGAGTTAGAAAGTAAGTAGGAAACTGGGAAGATGTGAAGTACATTTTATGCAGAAGGAAGGGATTGGATATTTATTTATTTATCTTTATCTATATTGCACATTTCTCAACAGAGCACTCAGATCTTAAGGTGCCAGAAAGTGCTACAGTGGTGCCCCGCAAGACGAATGCCTCGCAAGACGAAAAACTCGCTAGACGAAAGGGTTTTTTGTTTTTGAGGTGCTTCGCAACACGAATTTCCCTATGGACTTGCTTTGCAAGACGAAAACGTCTTGCGAGTTCTTGCGAGTTTGTTTCCTTTTTCTTAAAGCCTTTAAGCCGCTAAGCCGTTAATAGCCGCTAAGCCGCTAATAGCCGTGCTTCGCAAGACGAAAAAACCGCAAGACGAAGAGACTCGCGGAACGGATTAATTTCGTCTTGCGAGACACCACTTTATGTTGAATTTCTTACGTTGATTCTACGTTGTCCTGTGACTTTCTTATCAAATTGTTTTTTATGCATTCTCATGGTACATCTTCACAGTTACATGGCTCAGCACAAATCTCAAAAGTACAGGAAATGGCAAAAAGAAGACTGTACTGTATAGTATTTCCTGAGTTCATCCATTGCATGGACTGCACACTCCCCCAGTCTGACCCCATGAATCCTATAGCTTGGCCTGCCATATAGTTATTGCAAGCTCTGTGATTTAAGCTTCTGGGTGTCTATAATACATTGCTTCATCACAACAAAACGTTCATCCTATCCCAGGCTTCCTCAACCTTGGCCCTCCAGATGTTTTTGGCCTACAACTCCCATAATGCCTAGCTAGCAGGACCAGTGGTCAGGGGTGATGGGAATTATAGTCTCAAAACATCTGGAGGGGGTCA